GTGGGTCACTGTAGGCCATCGGCCAGTGAGACTGTGCAGCATGCAGCAAGTAAGGATCAGTGCGAGGCAGGTGGGTGTGCAGGTGTGGCGTCCTGCTCCATTCCGTGGTTGGGCTCACGGCTCCCTGAGGCTTTCAGCCGAGCTGCACTGCATTGTGGGAAACACTGGGCCTGTTTCTCAGTGAATGACAAGTGGTTCATGCTGTGTGGGGTTTTTTCTTAGCTCTAGGGCAACAGCATATAATCACATAACTCAGAAATCATGTGTCTGACAGAGCTATTGTTGTTGTCATTATTAATACTGTTGTTTAGATATCACTGCTAGTATTAGTAGGATAATATTAATAAATGTACAACATGAGAAACAAAAGCTGATGGTGGGTTATCTGTAGATATGTGTATTATTTTTGTTAGTTATTTCTTGCTGTGTGTCTGCATGTGTGTGTGCTCATGTCTGTGTGTGTGCATGTGTATGTGTGCATGCGTGTGTGTGCGTATCTGGGTGTGTGTTTGTGTGCACATGTCGGCGTGTTCGGGTACCTGTGTATGCACGTGTGTGTGCATTTGCGTGTGCATGCGCAGGTGCCTGTGTGTGCGTGTCCTCGTCTGCGTTTGTGCAAGCCCACATGTCTGTGAATCAGCCAGCTGCGCGGTGTAGCGCCCCCTGGCACAAGGGCACAGCACAGGGGCTGCCGGGTTTGGGGTGGCGGGGAAACGGACAGCAAGGGTTCATCAGCCCAGCAAAACTACCATGCCCTAAAAAGAGAAAAGAGCGACTTTTAGCTCCTCGCCTGCGGAATGCGTGTAATCATAGAGTAACCCAATAACACAGGTGGTGCAACTTAACTGCAGTATTACCCTCGTTAATATTTCATGAACGACTCCCCCATCCGCCCCCACCTTGCCGAACTTCGAGGATGAAGGATCTGGAAGCCTGCCATGATCTGAAGCTTGATGGCTGGGAGAGCGATAGGGAGAGGGAGAAAGAGAGAGCGGGAGGGAGGCCTGCCCACTCGCCTTCCCCTCCTTGTTCATACTGTTTTGTTTCGGCTCGAGGACCCCCCCCCCCCCCCCCCCCCCCACGAAATGATACCCTTTGGCAGTAGTTGAGTGTGTCACGTCAGTGTGTGGGTGTGTCAAAGTGTGCCACGTCAGTGTGTGTGCGTGCTCGCTGAACCACCCACGCTGTCCTGAGCGCAGTGCCGACTGGCCAGCCGCGAATGTGGTTAAGCCAGAAACACTAGTTCTACCCTCGTTGGGCTCAGTGGTGCCACGTTTTTGTCGCCGTGCTGCTGATTGGGATGATTTAATTTGTGTTGTTTGGGTTCCCCAGCATAACTGTTTGTACATGATAAGCCTCTGCTAGCGGGCACATGGGTGGGTGGGGGTGGGGGGGGATAATGGCTCCCTGGCTGTGTGCTGACCACACTTTCTGTTCCCTCCCCAGCTGGGTGAATAACTTTGGCCATGAAGGCCTGGGCCTGCTGCTGGACGCACTGGAGAAGCTTCTGGATAAAAAACAGTAAGATCCCACTTAA